AAAAAAAAAAAAAACGCAATCTAGAATGACGAGACAAAAATGAAGTATGACTAGGCAAAAAAAGAGTAAGAGATATTCATTAAATAAAAGTGGTGGCAGGTGTGCCACGTTGTTTAACAAACCACTATAACGGAGAACGTGTTAATTTTCTTGAAAAAAAAATAGCATAACATGTCAACTGTGATACAAGGTAACACAATGAACTTCTTTAAATACCTTGCAAAAATAAACAATACCTTTAGTACACTCGTCTCTACCGGGGAACCTCTACTCCACGATACAACAGTTTAAGTGTCACTTGCCAGAAGAACAACCTTTGACCTTTGGTGTTATACTGTCGATAGAGGGCGTGTACATGTTAACTTTTGACGCCAGTGGGCGCTGTTATAAACTGCGCATTTTTTTTATAGCAAAATGGCGTCAACAACAGAGACGAGGCGGAACGAGGTGGGTTTTTAAGGAATAATTTCATAATGCGCATCGTTTGTCATAAAAAAATCATTACGTAACAAAGCTTGAGTTAATTCTGCTATCAAACGAACAGATCGTTGGGATATTTTACCTAACAATCGGTGTTGATTAGAATTTTTTAGCTATGCGTGCATATGCTTAAAATTAAATTCTCAAGCTGACTCGGTGGTTCGATAGTTTCTGACTCCAGATATCTTGATCAGTGACACTCCTCGCTCAAACAAAAAACAAATAAATAAAATAACGTTTCGGCGGTATTTAAATGTTTGCATATTATTATACCTTGTATCACGTCTGTGCACAACCATACAAATTCACTATGAAAAAACATTGACTTGAGTCGAGATATTATTATCAAAAAATGCATAAACCGTGGTTATGTTACTGTATGTGTGATCGTTTTGGCCATAGAATTGAGGAATTTTTTTTCGAAATATAAAAGTCAAGAACTACAACAAGGCACTTTTCCACAATACTCAAAATCAGAAAAAAATACTACAATGTAGATTGAGAGACAAACTTAGGTCTCTTTCAGGGGACATTTACTCAATATGCATTTTTTGACCATGCACATTGCACATTAAGAACAGTCCAACAGAAAACTCTACGTTCATTTTGAGTTTGTCCTTACTAATTCTCAAAGATGGACCAGAACAGGAAGTCAGTAGAAGACAAAATATTTTTTCATCAGCATTGGGGAAAACAGAGGTGGTATTCCAAAAATTCATTGTCAATTCTTATTTGTGATTGGTCGATCCTGGCAACGTTTGGGGATCGTGATGTAGCTCTGGAATTGTGTACAAATCTTTGAGAATGTTCAAAACAGATTCAGGGGGAAAGTCTTCTAATATTTGCTCAATATTTTAACCAAAGTTGTGCATACCTACAAAAATTTGTGTGAGATTTGTCAAAAATAAAGCAAGTAATGGATATTAAATGAATTGTGGGAAAAAACTGCTTTGCCGAACAACGTGGGGTTTCCAGATAAATTGCAAGAATACTTTTTCCACAACTGGCGTAAAAGTGACTTAACAATAACTATTGGCAGTCTGCACAAATAACACAGTTGACCTGTTTTAAGGAAACATTTTTGAAAGTGCCAGTCACCAATTTTATCACCGGCATGTGACTAGAGTGGATGACTCAGCAAACAAACTTCAATGATAAATACACAATCAGAGAATACTGTTTACTGAATACTGCCATTCATAATTTATTAATACATGTATGTCTATTACATAAAATGTTGAATTGCATGATTTTGAGAACCAGGAACTGGCTAATATGAATGTATCTTTGGAATTGTGTACATACTAATAGAATACAAATGTTTTTAAAACTTCGAAGGTAATAAAACATGTTTTTTGTCATCGTCAAGATCATCATCTTTTGTGTTAACCCTTTTTGCGGTTATAATAACTTATTTTAATATCTGGCTGTAGATATCGCATTTTTTATTCAATTGTGAAGTAACCTTAATTGTAGCAAACAGAAAAAAAAATTACCTGCTAGTACAACTGCATGTACAAATCCTTGTGTAAACTAACAGTGAAAAGATATGCTTGTTCCTGTCATAATAGCAATAGTAAGATTTCAATCAAACTGCGTGCCCAAATTACCTCTTTCTGTCCTTTCCATGATCCCTCATTATGTCTGAAATTAAATGCAAATAGGAAAAACAAACGTTTTAGTAATGTGGTGGCATCGAAACATAATGTGGGATTCAACAAACCCAAATTTATTTTTTTCAGTATTTTCATGCTTATTAATGTGCTACACAATGTATACATTTGATGATGGTAAATTTTAATAAAATAAGGGTATCTCAACACCATGTTTCGCTCTGAAATGATATCCAACAAGAACCATGAAAAAAACAAAATTCAAATTCAAATTAAATCATTCAATTTTTGTGGCTGGCGTTTTCTTCATACATTTTGGGCATTAAGTGAGATCTCGCAGTGAGTGGATCCACTATTGAGTGAATCCACTATTGAGAGAGCTAGAAATTCATGTACCACACATACATGTACATGTATTCATAATAACATTCTTCCCTGCTGAAATCATAACAAAATTGATGGGAAAAATAGACGTCAGCAGACAATGTGGGAATATCTGTATCATATGTTCCTAGTTACTTGTATTTTCTGCATAACCAGTATTGCCTGGTACATTTACTTCCCTGGGGGTAATAATTGTTCACATGTAACCATTTCCATAATCGTTTATTAGCTACTGTGAAATACTTTATTCGAGCTGAATCATTCCTTCAGTGAAAATTCATTCCAAGAGAAAATAATTTTACAGTATAACATTATTGTACTTTAAATAATTTGGTTAATTGATACGGAAACTCAACAGTAATTACTCATACATTGGTCATTCTATTCATTTAGCTTTTTGGTTGAAGTGTGTGTCATGTAGTGCAGAAACTTTTTCACTTTCATGGAATTTGGATTTTTAGTTTGAATTGGTGTTCTGAGAGATGTTTCATGTTCGGCTTTATATGGTAGTTTTAAAAGGTTATGGTTTTGCTCAATTTCCCCTTTCTTACATGTATTCCGATTGTTGGATCATAACTCTACAGTAATAACATCTTATTCTTCTTACATGTTTCATGTGCATGTATCCTTTCATTCCTTGCTTATATAGTGTACTGTATTTGCTTTATTAGAAAATGAACATCTTGAGTTTACTTTTATGGGACCTATTTTAACACCAATCGGTTTTCAAATCTGAACTTGTTTAAATGATTTATGATTTTTTGCTGAGCAATTGTTGAAGTTAACAGTTCGGGAAACATTAAGAAGTAAGAGAGACATTGTTTTATGTGTTTGCGCTTCCATCAGTGCAAATTTTATGTAAAATCACATGTTCGTTCTCTATAAAGCAAATACTGTATGTCTGTAGTGTAGCTACTTTTTGAAAATGAATAATTATTCCAGGATATATCATTTTATTTTTTTCCTTCTTTTAATAACTTCATGGGTATCTATTTCTTGCAGGTTACAGAAAAATCACAATTGTCAGTCACTAACCTACCCACCCTATCTGCTCAATATTTTGGTGCCACCCAGTTGTTTCACAGAATATTTGCATGAACCCACGTCATATGAAGATAGGGGTGGGAAAGTGCCATTTCTTCTTGTGTGTATGTTTCTCTTTTCTATAATCAGTCTTTGTTGTCTGAATATTTTAATGATCTTTTTCTCTATAAATAGAACAGTAGTGAGTGTACAGCAAAGGAAGAGTTCAAAGGTGGCACCATTCTCAACACTAAAAGCCTTGAAGATTTACCAAGTGAGCCGAGTTGTGTATTTACAACCCAAGCCAGTGCATCGAAACAACTGTGCAGCGAATTTGTTAATAAAACTAGTGTTGTGCCAGTTTCTGCCAATCAGACTTTAGAAAGCAAACAAGCTGGTGATATTACACCCCTTCCAGCCAATCACATGTCAAAGATTATGCTGTCTGGTGATATTGTCTCTTCTACAGCCAATCAGATTACAGGTACTACATTGTTTGGAGATGTTGACCAGTCTGCAGCCAATCAGATAGTGAAGGACTGTGCATCTATTGAACACATACCCTCTGATGACAATGCCAGTCTTCAACAGAATTTACAAAATTTACAGCCTATACAGGCCAGTGATGTTATCCTGAAGGGAGATATTGCCTTAACGTCAGCCAATCAGATAACAGAAACAATCCAAACTGGGTATACACTCAAGTCATCAACCAATCAGAGTCAAATTATGCATGATACTGTTATGTCTGCAACACGGCGTGATGACAACAGCGGTGCTTCAGAATTCCAAAATTTACAACCAACTGCTTTGTGCAATCAAAACTCAAATATTTACAGACAATCGACTAATCAAATTCCAGATAGTGATGTAATTCACTCCTCAGCCAATCATGTCTTTCAAACCGAAATGTTAATTGATGGTGCAGCCAATCATGTTTTGGATAAGGTAAAATCATATGATGAACCTTCGTCATCCAGTCAACCGCACAGAATTCAAAATATACCAGCAGAATTGGAAAATCAGTTGCCACTTCAACACCAACCTCTATGTGCGACAGGATGTGACTCCCAAACTGGTGAAGAACAATCATTCACACAATGTCCCACTAATTATGTGCAGCAGCCGTTGCCACAAACTAATTTCACATCTACAGTTTACAAATCACCAATCACAATAAACCAGCAGCACATGCCAGTACAGAACATGAGCGTATCTAATGGAACTGTGACATCACTTACAAAAACGCAATGTGTTGCAGTACCATCTCATTCTGCACCAGTGACAGCATCTGGTTTCACGCCAGCAATATCTTCAGCTCACTCCCCACAGTTACCTTCACTGCCACAATCTTTCACTGCAGACATTGCGCTACAAAGCCAACCAGTGCCAGTAACTGATTCTCAGTCTTTGAATAGGAACACAATGTCTAATTCCTCTGTGGCCACCTCAAGTATCAGATCTGAGTATGGTTTGCATTGTAGCACACAACATTACACAGAAACGCAACCAGTGCCTGCGCTGTCATCTTCAGCAACTTATAGCAAAGTAAACAATCCACAACCAACACAAGTTCCTACCAGCC